GGAATCAATTATGAAATGTGCTTAGAGAATGCAAATGAGAGCATGCGTAATTTATACTAAAACCACAAAACAGGCACCAGCAATCTGTATGTTAGCAGAATTCTAACAAGATGCACGTGATAACCTCAGCTACACTATAATGCAGCTGATTTTTTAATACAGTTAAAAGTAATTTCATAACATAGCCGTGGACTTTGAAGAACGGTGCCAATTGAAGAATAGTGTGGATTGAAGAATAGGGGTGTAAATAAGTAACCTCAAGAACACTAGACTTTGTTAGCAACTATAGAGAAAAGGAAATTACTAAAATAAGCTTTGCCAGAACCACCTGGTGGTTACTGATATGACAACTATCCTAAACCAAAGTGATGAAGAAATAACCACCAGGGGTCCAAAAGCCCCCTACCACATTTTTGTATGCACACAGAAGGCATTCTTTAAAAGTATGATGTAACGTATGCAATCTAATGAATATGTATGTTTAAGGACAATATAATCACAGCCTGGTTGATGCTTGGGAGAGACACTCTTGGAGGAGTGATCCCCCATGTCTCCCGGCACTGCAATAAAGAATACCTGCTTGTCAACTTAAAACCTTGTTGGAGTGTTCCTGGAGATTTCTCCGAATCAACTTCGGAAAAGTTACATCAACTGGTGGCACCTCTTAAGGACATTTCATTTTATGAATCAGGATGTATTCATTAAGGTATTCTGAAAAGGTGACTCAAATCATATGGCAGCTCTTAAAAGACAAGTATCAACATCATTTCAGACCTTTTAATTGATTTTTTAAATCTCAATGCTATAATTTGAAGCCCAAGCTTTCACTGACTTTTCCTGACAACAAAGCCAACCTAATGGGTTCCTGTCCTGCTCCTGCACTGCTCCCTCAGTTGTGCTAGTACAACTTTTCAAGAGACTAAAACTAGTGCAGGTTAAAAATAACTTGGCCCACTAACAGTTTTACCAGCGCAACTGAGAGGTCAAAACATGCGTGGCCTGGGCAATCAAAGTTGCAGTAAGGGGGAATGGACTGATTACAAGTGTCAGGATCTGCTCAAATGGTCTCCATTACTAAAGGAAGTCACTACATCCATTTTTAGATTATAACTAAATTCCAAGTTTTCAACTCCTTTAACTACATTAACATAGAAAATCCATTCCAGGAATACAGCTAGTGGTTGCTCTCAAAGCCAAACCCAACAGTGAATCCTTCTCCACTCTCCACAAATGTTTCCTAGAGGAGGTGCGGACCCCAGGATAAGAAAGATGAACTTACTTTCAGCAAACTATTTCCCTCATTTTTTAAGATGTATAAGCATATATACATATTCATACAAAAATCTCCTTAAAGGTAGTCCATGGATCCAAAAGGTCCAAAACTCCAATGAAATAATGTAGCTAATAAAAAAAGTCTTTAATCCATTTTTCTAGGATAACAAGTGTCAAAATTGCAAACTAGTTCTTTAAAGCACTTAAAAAGCATCAATGAACTGTATCAAGATATTACTTTAAAAGGCAACTGCTAAGCAAAATCTAAGGCTAGCCATGTAAATTCATTAGGCAGGCAGAGATAATCAACCTGAAAAATACAATTCCAAGAACATTGCTATTGTTACAAGATAAGCAATGAACTGATACAAGACCAAAAAAAAAAAAACAACAAAACCTGAACTTACTGCACAAAAGAGCAATAAGGTTCTCATAAAATAAGGGTTTAAAAGCACTAGTTCAAACATCTTCATTTATCATAGCAATTACGTTTAAATATAGCTAAGGTTATTAAAAATCAGGGGGGTTGCTTCGGATTGTTTTTTTTTAACTATTTAAAAACGCTCACATTGAATCAACAAAAATGATACAAACGTTACTAAATGTAACAAGAGTATAACAGCGTAGCGAAAACAGCAGAAAGTGATCTGTAGAAGTGCACCTTAATCACAATCAATACAATATAAAACCATTAGAAATGCAGCTGCAATCATATTTAGAGTTATTGGAAACCCATTTACTACTTTAGATGCAATTCACCTGTTCCACTTTTAAAGTCAAGTGAGCTTTCCCATACTCAACACTTTGGATTTGCTTAAAAGAACTGAAACCAAATCACTAGTATGAAATTAGCAGTGAGCTTAAACAGCGAGGACACCTGCCTTAACCAGAAAGTTCTCCTGCTGGCCTTGTCATCTTTCCATAATACGAGCATCAGTGAATTATCCAAATATTTTTTCCCCTTATTAACTGAACTGCAGTTAATAGCTGTACTTCAAATGAACATGGAAGTTAAAATCTGTACTGTAAATAATATATGGTATTGTATTTTTCAGATAACTTCCCATCCAGGCACACGGCATGTCAGTTGTAGAGAAGTGTGCAATCTACATCTTCATCATGACCGTGTTTTATTTTCACTGAGTGCTGCATCTGTTTCAGCAGCAAAGAAACAATGACCAAGCTGAAATTGAACCTGGAAGCTTTAAAACGCCGAAGTATAAAGCAACTTCCCTCAAAAATCAAACCTCAACAGTCAACGCCACCCTCTCTGCCATGAGGTGGTATAAGCTCCGCCTAGGGAAGGGCAATACTGCCTTTGCAAACGAGTCAGAAGTTCATACTCCCGAGCTGTGATGGGTGCGAGGCCGCGGGAGAAAGCCAAGTGCCCCCGAGGCAGCCGAGCAGCTGCTTCTCCGCCCGCAGAGCCGCCGCCGCCTCTGGCGCAGCCTGACCGTCCTGCCTACCCGCGCCGGGTGACCGCAAGGACTCCAACCGAGACTGCAAGTTCGGGTCTGGACGAGGCCCGCATATCACAGCCTTGGCGGGAGGGGAAGAGGCCCAGCGGCAAGCCCAGCACCCGCTGCCGATGGCCGGGGACCCTGGCCGCAGCCAACCCCCAGACAGCGCAGGCATGGCGGAGCGAGCCCTGCTCGGCACGCCCGTGCGGGCGGACCCCCGGGTTCCCAGCAGGGCCTCGCGGGGACTCCGAGAAAGCCCTCGCGACGCGGGGTCCCCAACCACAGACGCGAGGGGGGTGCAAGGCCGCGCTCCGACCTAAGATGGCGTCGCCCTCACAGGCGACAATCCCCCCCAGCGGCCCGCCAGACGCCGAGCGGCGGCTCCCTCCACCCGGGGAGGTGTCAGGCCGCCCTGGCAGGGCGGGCCGAGGACAAGGAGCGGGTTGGCTTACCGTGCTGCGTGTCCGGAGAGGCCGCGGCAGGCCGCACGGCTCGGTCGTGGGCTGCCGGAGGGGGATGGGAAGCAGCCGCGCTGGCGGAGACGCCTCACATCGCCGGACCGCGGCGCCCCACCTCAGCCTCCGCCGGGGGAGGCCGCGCGGCGCGGTGCCTGCCGGGTAGAACGCGGGTCAGCCCCACAGCGGCGCGTGCTTTCCGGCAGCCGCGGGGCGGGGCCGGGCGGGGGCGGGGCCACGCGCCATGTGCCGGGCCTCACACCCCGCGGCCGGCTTCGGCCTGCTGCGCCTGCCGCCTCGGGCCTCCTCAGGCCCGGCTGCGCTCGCTCTCCAACGCTCTGCAGCCAAAGCCGCGGCGGGCCCAGTATCCGGAGCAGTGTTCACCTCAGCCGTGCCCCGTAAGTAGGCCCCGCTTGCCGCGCAGGGCCGAGGGGAGCATCCCGTGGTAGGCCGCGAGCGGAGATCAGGCATGTCCCCTGTGGTGTGTTCGATCACAAGCACTAGTAGCTCTACATGTGATCGAAGAAAAGCTAAGGAAAGCTGTACCCAGAGTTAACATTAAGTGCAGGCAACTCAGTGTCACAGAGCGTGTTTCCAGAATTAGTGGAGTACAGGCTTCTAAAGTGAACACTGTTCTGACTGGAGGTTTGTTATGTGTCTGTGTTTTTCTTGTGGGTTCCCACAGTCGTTTACCCAGTTGGTTAGATAACAGAAATACGTGATCAACTGTTCCAAATTTTTACTCAATAAAACATTCCATTACTTTCAGCAGAACGTTGTGAAGCTGCTAGACAAGGCCTAAACTGGGCAGTGAAGCCACGTTTGCTAAAGAAAACAGTCCTGGAGTACAGTACCACAAAGAGCTGCTGCATTCTTCACTCACCGTAGAGTTTACACAAGAAAATCTCTGAATCAAAAGGTGACTAAGAAATCCAGTTTTTCTTATGCCTTTTTGTCCATAGTGCTCTCTCACCCGGACCAACATCCAAGAATGCTCCTGAGTTTAAATTTTCCCCTACTCATTTTTGCTGTCCATTCTACCCCGAATAAATAAATAAACCCCAAAATGTACAAACAAAAACCCACACTAAAACCCCACACAGTTCTTCATTTATTAGAATTTGAATTTCTGGTGAATTTTGAAGATAAATAATGGGAAAGCACTTATCCAAATTAATCTGTATCACTCAACTTTTTCAGCCCATAATTCTCAGAAGTTGCTGTTGGTGACATCTGCCATAGTTGCCATCAGGTATCCTCAATTAATTGACTATAGAGTCTCTGTCAAATTGAAGTTTTTTTCAGAAGAATAAATGAAGTGTCCTTGTGAACTTAAGCTCTAAAGATTTGATTACTGTGTTTAGCACGGAAAATATTGTGCTCGTTTTCCATATCATCTTTAGTCTTGAGATGCTTCCAGACTACTCTGGAATGTCAGAGAAGTGAAGAAAAAAAAAACAAAACAACATTAGTAATTAAGTAATTGCTGCTTAGTGATTATGCCATTAAATAATTTGGTTATTACAGTTTAGTAATTAAACAATTATTAAACTATGACATTCTGCCAAAGTAGGAGGAAAAAAGAAAGAGAAAGGAATAATCTTGGTATTTGGCAGAAAAGGAGAAAAAATATGGGAACTAGAGAGGGAAACTTACTTTAGATAGAAGTAAATGTGAAGTGAGATCTATAGTCCAGTTATTTGAAACACATTTTCGACTACTCACTGAGAGATCATTGCAGGTGTTTTTGTTCAAGCAAGATAAATATAAAAAGTATATTAAGATTACATGGTAAAACGTTGAAAAAGTGTGATATAATTAGAATCAACTCTGCACATATAATTAAATTCATGCATTCTGAAGGTGCATAATTGCATACTGTCTGTTCTGCAAGACCCCTACCTAGTTCTTGGAGAAATTTGTTTGAATATCAAGTTTTTGCATCATCCTACAAAGCCATAGGAGCAAAATAAGTTTATCGATGAGAATCAATAAGCATTCACAACTTCAAAACTCACAAATGAATGAAGGATAATAAGTAGCCCCCACAATTACAATAAAATAGTTCTTTCCAAGGTTCCTTTGGTTTGTAGACGATCATCTTGGCTAAGCTTAGTAGGTGGCCAATGGGAAAGGCCAAAAACTTTGTGTTGCAACAAATAATTGGTGACTAATTAAAGAAAAAAGTTCAATGAGATCTGAGAAAGCTCTTTAAAAAAGAAGAGACTGAAAACTCAGTGTGCTGTGATATAGGTGAACCATGTCTCTTTTGACATTAAGATGTGAGACTTCATAGACTGCATCAGCAGTGAAGGTGCCCTTCTAATGTTCCTCATGAGCCATGGAAATTATGTGGGATGTGCTCGGGTGGGGGGGCACATAAAACCAGGGATTCCTACCCTCCACATTTAATAATAGTCCTTGGCAGTTATCTTTGCAGTGAGCAAGTAGATACAGGCAATTAAAGAACATGCTCCTCCATGGTGTCCTTGCAAAAAGAAACACATGGGCAGATGCACTGGACAGGAAGATTTATATCTCCTGTAGGAGAAGGCAGTATGATGGAAGACATGCAGTACTTTCAAATGCAGTTTAAAAAACTGCAAGTTCTGGAGACACCAGATAGAATGAAGTACCATGAAGGAAGGCTGCTTTATATGTAAGAGGAAGTACTGATAAGGTAACGAGACATTTTAGCAGAGCCATGCCTGAAAATTTACAGAGAAAACTGCAAACATATGATATATTCTAAAAGAGAAACTTCGCAGAAGCTGATTACAGAGAACAATTGTATTTCATGCAGTTGGGCAGCATACAGGCACTGTTGGCTACAGTAGTAAAGCTGAGCTCGAAAGCTAACTAGTCTGAATTACTTCATCTTATATCAACTGGCCTGTGACTTAATTACTAAAGACACATTCCTTTTCCGTCTGTGAGTTATTGACAATAATCTCTCATCAGTTTCTGGTTTTTGTCTCAAAAGCATTGTCTGTGCCAGATAAGTCAGTTGCTTGCAAAATCCCTCTGTGGTCCAAAATGCTTCTATCCCAGTGGTCTGCTCCTCCACATCACCCTGTATCAACCAGTGATGAATTAGCAGATGATAGTTTATTTTTGAGAGGGCATACAGAAGTTTGTAAGGAAGTAGCAAAACCTGGTAGATGTATTGCTTACAAAGCCAGAGGGTATAACTTATTTCCAGTCTTCTCTGACTTTATATTGGTAGAGGGTTGAGTAAGTGAGAAATATGAATGCAACTATCAGGTTTGTTCTACTTATCAACCAGCAGGTGTTCATATTGTTCTTATTTTGCTTATCATGTTCAGGCATTTTGAGGCATGAGCTCCAGCTAAGCATGAGAAATTTGTAGTTGAGTAGGCAAAGTGGGGGCAAATTGGAAACCAAAGCATGTCTTCTGAAGTAGTAATAACTAAGACAAGCAAGTTGCAAGACAGCAGTTGCTTGCAATTGCTTCAGCTCAAGTGTTAACAAAAAAAGAAATAAAATCCTCATATTGATTCATAGAGATTAGAAAAATTAAAAAAAAAGGGCAAGTAAATGTCTATCTGTCATTGATTTCTGTAACCAGAAGGCTCAATATAATAATGCTCAAAATGGTCATCTGTTTCTCTCTTATGGAAAAAAAGCTTGGGACTGGGGAAGAAAAAAATCATCATATATCTATTGTCAGGTCTTTAAACAATGCATTGATGTCTGGAAAAGCTGGATGATTACTTTTCACCTCAGCAAGATGCATTTTAACTTGGTTCTTTTGGTTTTTAACAACAGACATCCATCCATGTGTAGGTAAAAGGCAGAAATTCCATCAAGGTTTTTAGCAACACAAATAGTTTGGTTGAACTGCTTTACTTTTCCATCTCAATACTGAAGAGCTAGACGGTGGGAAACAAGGAAATGTAGCTGATACTTTAGAAACCTTGCTGTGCAAGAAATGCAAAATACGTGCTTAAAGCATATAAACCACCTTAATTCTTACCATGAAATCATAAGACAAGTTAGTGTTTTATTCATTTGTAGTTACAGGCTGATTCGGATAACCTTTAACCATGCCATTAATGATTCACAAAATCAGATACACATTATAAATTACATTATGTTTGGATTAAGAATTTATAAGGACATTCTTGTAAATATTGCTATTGACATTCATCTTAGAAAATCCATTTTGTTATTAAGATGGCCTAACCAATTTTGTTAGATTGGAAGTCTTCACTTCCCCAACTCTCTCCACAAACAGAGACAAATGGGAGATAGTGGATATTTATATGCATTAACAAATTCACATTTCCTAACTGAAGCGGTGACAGGTGTCATCATAATTGTTTGCGCAAGCCTCCTACAAGTTTATAGGTTACATAAACATGGGGATCAGTTAAGTTGCACCAGAATGCAGATACCTCTGTCATAGAACTTGGGAGGTCAGCCTAACAATGCCAGGAGCATTCCAATTGAAGCAAAGTGCCACATACAAAGAAAGTTACAGGGAATTTAAATAGAGATCTTAAATTTACCTACACAGAAATGTAAGTGGATTACTAGGAGAACATAAAGTTATCAAACTTTTTTAGGAAAACAACTTTTACAGGCTAAAACTTTAAATTTCATCATACATCCCCTTCTGATCTGCTGATACTAAAATATCTCTTATGTAATTTTCAGGTTTGTGTTGATATTAAAAAATTGAACTTTGAGTATTCACTGTTGATTTAGTAAAAAAAGTTAATATTCGGCGAGTGGTTGAAGTGTAGAGAAGTTTATAGTATGTTCTGAGATATCTTGACCATAATCATGAAAAACAAGTTTTAGATGTGGCTTGAGTTTAACATAATGCTGCCTTATTATTAACCTTGAAGTTTATTTCATCAGAGTTACCTGGGGAGGCTGTGAAGTCCCCCTCACCGAAGATTTCTAGAGTAAGTTAAAACACGTCAGAAGCAGACTTGGTACATTTAATGCTATAAGCTACTGAAGGAAGTGCTATTAAACTACTATGGCAAGTACACTTAATGCTGATGGTTTTTTTAAAACCCTACTGAATGAGGACTCCATTTGAATGTAATCTGGGAGTCAGAGTGCAATTGTTGTATTCTGATTTTGTATGTCAGTAAAAACACAGCAGAGTGAGGAGGTCTTGCTCGTTAACACTGAAGTTATGGGTTTGTTTAAAATGATTTGTTATTCCTAGAGGCACTACACACATACAGCAAGTACCAACCTGCATGATATTGCAATTGGAGTTGCTGCCAAAATTTTGCTAGAATGGATATGTTCAGATGGGAAGCCTGTAACTATGAATGCACAAACAGATACTAAAAGAACATCTGCAAAACAAACACTGTTCAACACATGTATGATTTATTCAAGTATTCAAGCATTCCATAAGAAACGTTTGCAAAGTTGATTGCATTTAGTCTGCTGTGGTTTGTTGTTACAGTATCATACCTCCAGGAATTTGGCACAAGTATAAACAATAAGGGGTGAGCTAATCTGTTTATAACATGAAATTATAATGTTTGTTAGACATACATAACCTGTTTATGTTTTCCTTTTTGAGACAATATGAAAAGTCTAACATGCAACCCTGCAGAAAGTATAAGCTTCCAGTCCTTTAAACTTTAGAAGTATGCTTCTGTAAAATAAGATAAAAACCCAACCCAAACCATAAATTGTCTTTGTAACACTTCTAACTACCATCAAGCAGAATAATAGCAATTAAAAAAACAATAATTAACATCTCTAAGAGTCAGTGTCTCTTCAGTGTGCAGGTATTTCTCGTGTCAGCATTACTCAAACTATCAGATGAGAACACATGCTAAACTGCTTGGAGTTACAAGAAATGTTTGAATTGGATGAACTCTATCAGAGTCAAAATGGTCACAAATAGAGCTATTGCTATATACAAATCCAGTTTGTTTATTTGGATGCAAAAGAAAAATATTTCTTAAAAAAAAAAAAAAAAAAGGTTTAGTTTCCAGAAACTTTACTTAGTGACTTCAGGTTATAATAAAGTTAGTAGGTTAACATTAAGAAGTATCCCCTGAAATAGTTTAGTCTTCATTTAAGAAATCCATTTTAAAAAATTATATTATGTACATTGATTTAAATACTGGAAATGCTCTGGTTCTCAGATCAGACACAGGGAATACACCTTGCCTATTGGATTAATTTTTATCATTCACCTTGGAACAAATTCAATCCTAGCTGTCTGCTACTGTGTACTCCACATGGTAAAGAAAATCCAAGCAAATAACTACTTGGTTTAGCCTTTGTGTCCACTTCAACTCAATTAAGTAATTCAGTAGTAAAGAATATTGTTCCACTGGGTTGATGCCAGACATTGTTTTACTGGCAGAGCCTTAAATAGGAAAAGTGACATGATACCGACTCAATGTATGCTCCAGAGACTGTTGTTGAGAAATTACACTACTGGGTAAAGGTTCCAGTCATACTTTTCTGCTGGGAAAAGAGAAAAAAAAAAAGTCCTATAATGCTTCCTTTTGTTGCGATTTGTAAAACTTTATTAACTCATGCAATAGATTAGCCATTCTTCATAGAAAATCCCCCAAGCAAACCACGTTGTGCTGGGCAGACAAAAAGAGGGTAATTCCTACCAAAAAAGAAAGGACAAAAAGAAGTTAATTTAAACTTGTAGAAGTACAATGCCCCAATGTGGCTTTTAAACTATTGCAAACAGTACAAGAAGTAATAAATGATGCATCTGCTTTGAAATCAAAGTAACTTACGTTGTGTTGCAGTGAGTTGCTATTACAAAGATTTTAAAAATACCTGAAGAATAAACATAGAAACATATCAGCTCCTAAGCAATAAGTATTTTCTCATAATCCAAAAGAAAAGAACTAATAATACAGAAGTAAAGAAAATCTGTTAAAAGTAATATTCCCTTAGGATAATATTATTCAGAATTTCTGCTGAGTTATGAGCCACTCTGGGCAAATCACTGTAAGAAGAAAGTGACACACTTTCAGATTGTTAGATTTCTTTTATTCTTTACAAGTAATCTTCCATTTGCGTAGTGGCTTCTGTTCACAAAACTAGAACAGAAAGTGGTTTCTTGGCATTGTCATCACATATAGAAAATGTGTCCATGACTTCTGAGTGTGTCTGTGCCAGTAAGTGATTTTTATTTGTCAGATTGGCTGTCAAACTGAAACGAAAGAAAGTACTGGGATAACAAAACAGAAGACAATGGGGATTGCTGTTTTATCCACTAGCCAAGTAATTTACCGTCTGTAAGGGGAGACCCCATATTAGTCCTAGAATGAACACTTTCCA